ATAAAATAAAATAAAATAAATAAATCATGAAAACTGTTAATCCCTTGTCTGTTTTCCTTTATTTATTTATTTAATTTTTATTTAGAGATGTCCAAACATTACAACCAGAAGGCTGCCGTTGAGCAGGACCTCCCCACAGTCACCCAGAAGCTCTCTACCACCACAGAGTGCCTCCTCGGATCTTTGGGATCTCTAACCAGCGTCACCGGCAAGGTACGGCCAGCAGGGGGCAGCAGCTGCGTTTGTGTCACTGTGTTTAATAAATGTAAACAGTGTGGCCAGTCTGCTTGTTGCAACACCTTAAAGCTACCTGATAGAAGTGGTTTAATACCTTAACTGGACCACAGATGTAAAGGGACTCTGCAGGGCTCAGGTGGGCAGTGGGTCCGTTTTAAAGAATCTCAGTTTGAACAGCTGCTGTCTGGTTAGAGAAAAAGAGTAAATGATTTGTCTCTGCGAAGCGAGCGGCGGCGTCTGCTAACATGCAGGTGTGAGGTGTGTGTGTGTGTGTGTGTGTGCACGCTGAGGGCCGACAGAAGCTTTACTCTCAGACATTCATCATCCTGGACACAGTAATGGTGGGGGAATTATCACTCTGCTTTAAGCCCTCCAGTTACATTGCTCTTGACAGACTGCTGACTACCTGAATTTTTTTTTTCTTTTTAAGCAAAGAACGCTGTAAAAACATTTTTTGTTGGAATGATACGAGACATAATATCCCGATCATTTGTCGCAGATTGCTACTTTCTTCAGTAACAACTTGGATTTCTTCACGACGCCGGCCTACAGTCCTAAAGGAAGCACGGCCACCCTCAACCCGRTGCAAGCAGAGACCATGCTGGCCAACAAAAAGAAAGCAGCTGCCTACATTCATGCCATCCAGAAGGTTAGTGAAGGTTTTGAAGGCTCAGGTGGAAATTGGTGGTTTGGATTCACGGCCCGCTAACAAACATTAAAGGAGGAGGATGATGTTTTTGCTCCTGTCTGTGTCATTCTGTTGCCAAAATATCCCACAAACCCTTACAAACAATAATCACTGGATGTCGTCTACAGCTAAATAACTTTTGGAGCCAGCCCAAATCAAAATAGTCGCCACAGCTAACTGACCTTGGAAAACATAAAAAATGTATTTCAGTCAGTTTTACAGATATTTGTTGTAGCTGAGGGTCATTTACAGAGTGTAACATTAGTAGCATTGCACATGTTAATTAAAAAAAGTTCTACCAAAAATTCAGGCATGAGAAGCGGTGCTTGTGAGCATTATTTTAAAGGGGGAGGGGTATAAAAAATCAACTTTTCAAGCTTTATATCATGTTTTAAAGTCCTTCCCTCTTCAAAAACATAACCAGAGTGTTGCTTTGACTCATTCACGCATGTTTGAGAAATCCTCGATTCTCTTGTAGACGTGCAGCTGCCTAAACGCTTGTRGGTACAAAGCTCCGCCTGTTTATACAAAGCTCCTCCCTGGAGCTCAGTCTGCAGCRGAGCTCCATTAAAAAAACGTCTTCATCAAGGAAATAGATTTTTGGATGCTGAGGAGACTCACAGCGCTCCTCTAAAAGGTTATAAACAGAATGAAGCTGTTACGAAGACGTGCTGAAGTGGGAGTGTCAGAAACAGTAGGAAGTTCTTAAAGAGACAGAGGCCAAATTCATGAGTACAACATTTCTATAACAGCTGAAGGTAACGTTGTTACTTGATTGTTGTATAGAATTTAAGTATGTGTCTGGAAAAATATAATAATAATATAATATAATAACACCCCCCACCCCACCCCTCCAATAATTTCAGGCCTTTTTATTTATTGTGTGAAAGCTTCACAGCGTTCACATTACTGAGATAATTTTTTTTTCTTTCGTACGTTTTTCGGCATCGAACTCGTTCCACAGTTTTTGTGCTATTTCTACAATTCATATATCAAAACTTTCAGCCCATTCATGTGAGGGGTGCTCTGAGTTTTGGTATTTTTTAGATATATTTTTAATCTATTTCACTTTTTTAGCCACTTTTTTGCCATTGAAAATGAATGGAGCTGTTTTCAACATCCCTAAAATCCTTGAAAATATTTCTAAATCGTTACAGCACCRTACACATTTTGTTCTGATTCTGCTCTTTTTCACTTTGTTGTGCTAATTTTTGCTACTTTTTTGCTAATTTTAGCTTTTTTTGCTATTTCAGCTAAAATTCTGCTTCTTTCTGCTATTCTTCTGCTTTTTTCATCTTCATGCTTTTTTCTGCTACTTTGTGCTATTTATGCTTCTTACAGATGCTTTCTGCTATATTTAGCTATTTGTTAAAATTTTATCTAATGTTTAGCTGCTATTAGCTAAAGTTAGCTTTTCTAAGCTAAATACACATTTTTTGTAGCTATTACAACTTTTTTCAGCTAAGATCATCAAACTCGTGCTTCTATGCTTCCTAAGCTAATAAAAAAAATCCAGCTACTTATTAGTTGTTTTACTGAAAATTTCATCTGTTTTAGCCATATTAAATTATCACTTTTTTGTACTTATATGCATTTGTTTCTGCTAGTTTTACAAATTTTTACAACACTTTCTCTAACTGGGTGCTAATTTCAACTTGTGCCTACTAGCTTTAGCCTATTTTATGCTAATTTTAGCTATTTTATGCAACTTTTAGTTATAGATCTGCTTGTTTCTGCTATTCTTCTGCTTTTTTTCTATTTTATGTTTTTTTCTGCTATCTAGTGCTATTTATGCGTCTTACAGGTGTTTTCAGCTATATTCAGCTATTTTAGCTCTTAGCTTTTAGCTGTTTTCTGTTTTCAACAAGATTTGGGCTCCTTATACTGTTTTTCTGCAAAGTTAGGCATGTTTGCTTCTTTCAGTTTTTCAAAGTAAAGCYTTAATYCYAAYTWTTAACACTTTTCCTATTAAATATTTTCAGCTCAATTTCAGCAGCTTTCAGCTTAAGTTTTCAGCAAGAAGCATTCACGCAGAAAATGCTATTTCTCTAGTTTAGCTTTCAGTCTTTGTGCACCATGCATCGTTCCCATTACATTATTATGTTGTTGTTTGTTTCAGGCCAGGCCACAGTCTGTCCCTTACAGAGAGGCCCTGTCAAACCGTCGTGTCCTCACCAGCTCCACTGAGAGCAGAGAGGGACTAACTCAGCAGGTACAACACTCAGAAAGCAGCCGGTCTTCAAGCTTTTTATTACAGACGTTGCATCTGGTGGGTCAGCCACTGAACGCAGCGTCTTTGTCTTTGGCTCACATTGAAGCCAAACAGACTAGATATGTGAAAAAAACAACAGAGGTGTGGTGAAGTTGGTTGGAAAACAGAAATTCTTACATATTTGCGACACAGTCATGTGAGGCTGAAGAGTTGCAGACGATTGCTCTTTTGGGAAAGGGTGTGAAGAACTGAGAAGTTTTGACAGGGAGTCTGCAAGGTTTGTATAAAATGCTTTTTTTTCCACTTTCATTTCTTTAAAATCAAAGTTTCCTTATTTCTCCCTAAACACAGCTGCCCTTTCACTTCTGAAACACCTGTCTGCGGTCACCCTTTGCAGGTGCAGCAGAGCCAGGAGAAGATTGCTCGTCTGGAGCAGGAGAAGGAGCACTGGCTCCTGGAGGCTCAGCTGGGGAAGGTGCGGCTGGAGAAGGAGAACCAGCGCATCGCCGACCTGGAGGCGCAGCTCGCGGCCGCTCTGGGGGGCAGTCCAAGCCCCCAGCCGGCCGCGGCGGCCAGCCGGCCCGCGCAGAGCCACGAGGAGGCGGAGCCGGAGCCGAATGCCACGGGGAAGGAGGCGACTCTGTGCACCAGCCTGGTACCGTCTCCCCGCTCCAGCTGTTTGTTTTAGTGCTCTGCCCCCGGCACCGCTGTCTGATTAGCTTCAACAAAGGGAGCTTTATCGCTTTCTCCTTTTAGCTTCAACACCAAGAAACTTTCTGCCTAATAAACCACAGTGTTAATGTGCTGATGTAGCAAAATAGACAAAAAAAAAAACAGTATTTTCCTCTGCGTCAGCACCGAGTTCAGAGTGAAGTCACATTTTTATAAAGTCTCTGTCCTACTTGGGTTTTAAGCTTTAACTGTTGCCTCTCGCACTCCTGCAGGCCTGTCTGTGTGTTTWTCTTTTCTAACATCTCACTGATAATTAAAGTCTAAACTAACGATCTGTTTTGACACCAGGTTGGCATGCTGTGCACGACGCCCACAAATGAGCACGTGAGTCGCCGTAWATCTGCGGGAAGAAATAAGTGGGGGGTGAAAGAAAAGCAGACGCTGAGTGTTGTGTCTGCGTCGCAGGTGGGAGACGAGGAGTCCCGCGAGCAGCTGATAAAGACCCACTATATGGTCCGGGTGGGAGAGCTCACCACCCAGCTCCAGATCTCCGACAGCAAAGCCGTGCACTTTCACTCAGAGGTGAAGCTTCCCGTGTTTATCTCACCTAACCGCTTCTCCTGGCAAATACCTGACCTGGTCACCCTCTGAGGCCACGGTCCGTCTGAGAGCAGATACAGAAACCCTCCGTACTTTGAACAGAGCCCTCACAGTTAATACTGCTGGGTTTTCAGAGGAAATACTTGGGCCACTTGGAGGGAAAAATGAGGAGAAAAAAATTGATTATTTTATTTTAGATTAAAGATTAAAATGAAAATATTGACAGAAAAAAAGTTTGAATATTTAAAAAAAAAGTTCAAGACTAAATAGAAAGGAAGTGAACCTCATCGTGCTCCAGAGCTCCATTTGGT